TTATACACACACAGAGCACCCTCCATTCATCCCCCCCTCCTCCCCAGAGGAGAACCTACCGAGAGCTGAGTGACCAGGGTCTCTGATGGGGCAGTAACATCGACGGCGGCTATGAAGATGCCTCGTGTGCCATCGCCTGGGTCCGTGTCGTCAGCTGGGTACGGCATCAGCACCCACTTGGGAGAGTTGTCGTTCACATCCTCAATTTCGATCACAACACGGGCGTTGGACCAAGTATCTGAGGGGGGAGGGGGGAGGTGAGGAGTCAATTTTCCATAGTTATAGACACAAAATGCTACTAGTTCAGTTATTTACGTAGAATATTACGTAGATCTGTGCAGATTAGTGAGTGGGATATAAAATTATAAACAAATTTTAAAAGTGAAAAGGGGGAGTAGTCAATTTTCCATAGTTATAGACTCAACATGCTACTGGTTCAGTTTTTAAAAAATCCCAAAACAACAACAACCACAACAAAACAAAAACGAACCCTCAAAAAAACACCAACCAAAATAGGTCACAGGGTCAGTGCAAAGGAATTAATTGTAGTATCACTTTGTAGTATCACTTTTCAGATGCTTATAAGATACTGGCAAGATTCTCATGTCACTTTCAAAGAGGGTATTGCAATCGCAAAGAATATTACGTAGATCTGTGCAGATCAATGGGTGGGATATAAAATTATAAACATATTTTAAAAGAGAAAAGATGTTCCACAAATTATTATGTAAGACGCATATCCTTTGCACACTACAAAACATAGTCGAAAAAATATGTATTTGAGCCTCCTGCTAATTACTTTATTTCAAGCAAAAAGAAAAAAGGATTAAGAAAGCCGCATTAGGCCTTTGTTAATGCATTTTGAGCTGCCTCCACTGTGCAATGTATCAGCAAGTGGACGATCTTAACACTTTTAGTGCTGTCGGCAACTTTAGTTTTTAGTTTTAGTAAGAGTTTTACGGCACTTGCAACACAATAAAAGGTCATATAAGTGCCCAAGAATAAATGTGTTACAAAAGAGTAACATACACAAAAAAGGAGAGAAAAGGACGACAGATGTTTGATAGTAAAGAAGAGGCAAACCACACCAGAACACCCGCCAACCACCCACCGGCAACTTGAGTCGTTGGATTATTCCCCAGGCCACAGTATGCGCTCATACCAATGACGACTATTCGCCCACTCCACCAAACATAATTAATTAAACAACCAACAAAAGTAAATGTGAGGCAGCGTGGTGGAATCAGGCTCTCGTCAATTTTTGGGCAAGTAGAGTTATTGGTATCATCTTAAAGCTTGTTTACTTGTCTTTATCATCTTAAAGCTTGTTTACTTGTCTTTTTTGGATGGAAAAAATATCCATTTATCTTGAATACAAGTCGAGATATTTGCGAATGAAGGAGGCGGGAGTCACCTGTTTTCAGAGGTAAAATTAGTTAGAACATGGCGCCAAAGATTTGTTATTTCCTTAGCTTAAGAGTCCGTGGTAACTGAAAATTTACATGTTTGTGCCTTTATTCAACGCTTTTCAGAAAAATCCACACAGAAATGAGTTCTTTAATGGGCATGAAAGGTGCTGAGCCAAAAAACAAAAATTTGATAATAATTCACAAACCTGCGAAAAAATGCAAGTTTCTTCACATTGATTATTTTGACGAGAGCCTGATTCCACCACGCTGCCTCACAAATTATACCAAAGGAAGTCACTCTATATGATAGCTGAACGGTTAAAACTCTGTGAAATTTGTTACAGCATGTTTCTTGGACTGCGAAAGTTTTTTTGATTTAAAAAAATTGTTTTCCATGGCTTCAGCATTCCAAACTGGTGCAGTATTTGAGTTTTTCGCTATATGAGCCTTCGGTACGGTAAAAGTTAAAGTGAGAGAGTTTTAAAACACTTACTCAATTTTAAAACATTTGCCGTTGCCTGCCTCTTCTTGCGCACGGGTCCACTGGTTGGCCGGGCAGCCACGGTGACATTGAAGTCGTATCTGGCAACCTCTTCTCTGTCCAGACCAGCGTTGACCCTCAGCGCACAGTTCTTGTCAGAATCACGGGGCTCAGCATTGAACTTATCTGTTGTAGGGATAACATGGAGCATATTATGTTAGTTATATGTATGAAAGATAACACGGAGCATATTAAATTAGTTATATGTATGAAAGATAACATGGAGCATATTATATTAGTTATATGTATGAAAGATAACATGGAGCATATTATATTAGTTATATGTATGAAAGACATCAGGGAGTGTATTAGTTAGTTTTAGTAAGAGTTTTACGGCATTTGTAACACAATAAGGTCATATAAGTGCCGAAGATTAGAAGCGTTACAAGGGAGTAACAAACACAAAAATTAAGGAGGGGAGATAAAGACGACAGATGTTTGAAAGGAAAGAAAGAGCAAACGACACCAGAGCACCCACCAACCACCCATGGAGTGTATTATGTTAGTTATAGGCTACATATGAAATAAAAGGAGGTCAATTTTAAAAAAAGAATAGTAGACACCTGATATTTCTTTCATTTTCATCTGGACATGGGGGACATTTAATAATAATAATAGATAGCATTTGTATAGCGCATATCCCCGCTCAGCAGCAGGCTCTATGCGCTTTACACTATATTATTACCCCAGCAGACCATAGAACACTCCGAAACATTCTCAGCTTCCCGGGAAGCATACAGTGCAAGCAGCCGATTAAGCGCTCAAACACAAACAAACTGACAAGATCTTTCGCTGTCTATAGCCGGGTACCCATTCCCACCTGGGTGAAGTGAGGAAATTCGTGTAAAGTGCCTTTCCCAAGGACACAACGTCAGGCCCTTGACGGGATTAGAACCCACGACCTTACAGTTGCGAGTCCGAGAGCCTAACCACTAGGCCACCGACGCCACATTTAGGGTACAACAGCATAAGTTGTAGGTAATCCATACACTACATTACAACCCAACACAAGGGTTATCTAGATTGCCTACATGCAGCAGCCAAGCATGACCATAACTGACCTAATTTACTGAACTGCTTTGAGCTCAAAGTCATTGCAGAACAGGTGCATGCACTACCTACCTAGCTCGAGCTTGACATTTGGAACTTTTTAAAAAAAGTCTCTATAACTATAAGAAAAGTTTCAGCTAAAACAAAACAAGGGGACACAATACTATACCACTAGTACTACCAAACAATCATGCACGAAACACAAAACTCTCCTCCCTCCAGCATTCATGGACCCCAGACATTCCTGGCAAAGTGGCACTGAGTAGTAGTTTTTTTATAGTAGAGGGTTTTACCACGCTCGCAACTGCATAAGGTCATATGAGCACCAAGGGGTGGGTGTCAACAGAGAAGTCTTTACAGGGAATCAGACTTAGACTGCTCACCTCTCTAGCTTCAACAGCACAAGGTCTGCTTCGACTATCAAGGCACCCCAAAATAGCAGGTCACAAGAGAGTGACAAACATACAAAAGAAGTAGAGGAAAACGACAATAGTAAGGATCAGGAAAGAAAAAGTAGCAGTTCCCTGTTGTAGATCAGGTATAGTTATGAGTGTGATATGAGTCAGCCCATTTACAATTCTACTATGCTTGAACGAGAAATGTCCCCCCTTTGGGAAAAGTCCAAAGACACTTCAGCCAATGGCACCGAGTAGGAAAGTGAGTTCACTAACCATCTACCATTTCTACAATGTGTATCTACAACAGGCTTGCCAACTTTTCAGAAACTGAATTGTGGAATTTTGATTGCTCCTGAGCGCCATGGACACACACTTCTGTGATAAGCTACTAAAAAAAAAAACCACCCACATCGCAAAAACAGCTCAAACAAACCAGTGGAGAGAGGGATGAGAATGTAACAGTACAGTTACTACATATACCCCTTCGTCCATGCCTTCGAGTTTTGTTGTTTTGTTTTTTTTAATAATTAAAAATTTTTCGGGGGGAGGGGGGCTTCGCGCTGGCGTCTCGGAACGACGATGGCAATTCTGGAGTTTCCTGAAAAATTCAGGAAGGTTGGCAAGCCTGCTACAAAATGATCAGCCAGCCTGCAGTGGAAATAATAAGGCAAACACACACAAAAAGAGAAACTAACATGGCCAAAAACGGAGATATGTCCTTACCAACATTGTTGATGATCCTGCAGATGACAGAGTTGTCTCCCTGGTTTTCCACATCCATGAAGAGGATCTCTGTACCCACCTTTGTGTTTTCGGGGATGCTCAGGCTGTAAGGGAGCAACCAGACAGGGGGAATGTAAGACAGAGACAGGGGGGATGTAAGACAGAGACAGGGGGGATGTAAGACAGAGACAGGGGGGATGTAAGACAGAGACAGGGGGGATG